CACCTGAACTTTAGGCACCCCAGGGGACCACCTGAACTTTAGGCACCCCAGGTGTAAGGGCAGAAACGATCCTCCGGCTAGTTACCGCTGCTAACTCGCTCGTTTGCTGGTGCATACGACACTTGGGGTGGTTGGACGGAGGTGATAACGGCAGCGACCATCTCCGCCACTTGCAGATTCAACCCAGCCGCCATACCGTCAGTATTCAGCTACCCTGCTGTCCGTCAAATTTGGCTGTGATCTCATCATAGGTCCTGGACTCGTGGGCTGTGTTCCCAGACCTTCACCTATCAACTGCCAACTCTCTGGTCATCTACCACTACCGCATACCACGACCATCAGTTCATCACATTCCGTCGGTGCCCCGGTGTTCTCCTGCCTTTTCAAGACGTTGCTGAGTGTAGAGCGAAGTGGACGCTTCCCTGCCCTGAGTGTGCATCACCGTTAATATGTATTATGATGATCGACATGATCGTTTGTGACCAGAAAGAAGTAAAAAGAAATGCATAGAAATTATCACCATTAGGCAATTATCCACAAACACTCAACGTTTACACATACACGCTAAGTACTCAGGACAATACCCAAACACACGTGTTGCTAGAGACACGCACACCAACACTCGTCCTTTGTTATTTTAGTCAACCACACACCATATAACGTCCAAGTGCAATTTATACTCTGTTGTATTAGAAGATATTAAAGTCCCCTGTATGTACGGTACGTGCTAACACACACGAGGGCCTCACGACAACAACAAGAGCTACAGCGTCTCACCTTCAGGAACAGAGTCGATGGCAGGGGAGACGTGCTTAACCTTGAGCTTGGTGGGGCTGGCGGCTACTAAGGCGGCCCCCAGCAGCAGTAGGAGACACGTCGCCTTCAGGTAGGTGGTGGTGGCCATCATGTCACGAGAGAACTGATGGTCTCGTTCACTGTCAGCTTTTATAGCGTGTGATGACCTCCCCAACACACACACACACACACATCTTCAGCCAACAAATAAACGTAATATAGAAAGTAATAAATGTGAAAGATTCTTAACAAACGATAATATTCTTATATAAAGATTCCCCTTTTTACATTATTCATCGCAATTATGAAAGGAATGTTGCTTTTTATTTAATATTCCAACAAAAAAAATCATTAAAATTTCCCAAAACGTTGTTTTTTTAATTATAGGAGGACCACACCCTAGGTCAGGTCAATCCAGGGGACGCGTACATCAGGTCAAAGGTCAACCAGTGGTGAATTCTCCAGGATTTCGAGTTAATGTTTGTTGAGTGTTTTTTTCTGTTTTATTACTTGGTTATTGTGGAATTTAAACATCATAATTATACTGTAAGAATTGTTTTGATTTCTTCTTGTATTAATATATTTTTATTATTAATACTGTATTATTAGTATTTTTTTAGTAGTAGTAGTTGTATTAGCTTTATTATTATTATATCAGTATCTTTTTTCTTGCCTTTTTATCTTATTCTTACTTTTTCCTATAATCCCTTTTTCCTATTCTATTTTTCTTCTCCTATAACAAACACACACAAGTATATATCTCCTCTGACACAAACACACACACACACACACACACAAACAAACAATCTTACTCCCATCTAAATTATTTACGACTCAGTGACAAGTGTGTGTGTTTGTGTGTTCCATAGATTTTTTTTAGAGGATACACAGCGATTAATAATTTATTAAGGGGAAGATAAATATAAAATTCTCATCAATAATTGTATTCAAGGAAAAAATTAAGTTCGGTGATTTTTGTAAGTGAATAATTATTATTTAAATAACACAGGTAATAAAGGCATAGTAATTGGGTCTTGCTTACATGTCGATAGAAAAATAGAAACAAAATCATGAAATTGTCTCATTTCATCCATAGTAGCGTCTAGGAGAGGTCTGGCAGATACGGCAAATATGTAGCAGGCGACGGAGATGGCAGACGGTAGGCCTTTGTGTTACCCTTATCCATTATGTAAGTGAGGAAGAGAGGGAGTAAGGTAGGCCCCTGGGTTGTATGGGTTATTAGACACATGTAGTATTGGATGGGAGTGGATGTAAGGTGGTCTGTAGTGGTTATGATTAGCTATTGGAATGCCGAAATTATTCCCGTGGTGATTTTGATGGTGTTGACGTCCTGTGGATTCTGCTGTGGAAGAGAGACAGAGAGGATGAAGATGTGTGTGTAAAAAAAACGGCGTCGCAGCTGTGGTATAAACTTGATGTGCACTTTCAACATTATTTTCATACACGTAAAAATTCTTAACACATATTCTTAACACACAAAAGTTAACAAATCTACATCTGTCTATCTATCTATCTGTGTGACAATGACTCCACTGCTTTACCGTCATGGGTCTCGTTGCAAATAAATTCTGTTTCTTGTGGCTCAGAGAAAGACTCACAAAATGCCAAGAATGATTTTCCAACAGTCAAGAGAACTAATAACTTGGAAGTGAGACTCGTAGACGTCACAGATCAGCAAAATTACTGAGTCTCACCCTTCCTATGTACGTTTTCTTTAATTCAAGGGATCCCTGACTCCGCTTAACTGAACTTGACTTTCTGATAAGGAGAAATTAGGCAAAGACTAATTTTCTCTCTATTATACCTATATTTTGATCGCCTATTAATAAAAAAAGTGGTGAATAGTTGGATTAACTTCTGGTGTGCGTGTGTGCTTTGACATGTTCAGGTAACCACACCTAAATGAGTGGGCACGGGGGTGGAGGAGACTGCAGTGGGAGCGGGTCAACAAAACAAAGTGAAAGACTACAGGGAAATAGTGTTAGGAATGATGACAAAACTAAATTAGACAGGGCGTTAAAACCTAAACGCGGTAAAGGGAGGACTCAGAACACGACTAACTTAAATGTCTACTACGTGAACAGTAGAAGTATGAGAAACAAAATGGATGATATTAGGGCCTTGGTATACACCGAAAAAATTGATATAATAGCATTCACTGAAACATGGATCAACCTAGACACACGTGAGTTACCAGTCGAATACCAAATTGCGGGTTACAAATTGTTCCATACCGATAGGCAGACCAGGAAAGGAGGCGGAGTAGCAATCTATGTCAGGGATAACCTGAAGTGTGAAATAAATAAGGAAATAAAAACGGAGCGGAGTACAGAAACAATTTGGATAGAATTAATAGACGGTAGGGAAAAATTAATCACAGGAGTAATATATAGACCCCCCAATCTTGATAGAGTCAATGAGCGACTTATCTGGGATGAAATGCTCAAGGCTTCCATACACAACAAAGTCTGTATAGTAGGCGACTTTAACCTTGGCCAAATAGATTGGACTGACCTTACAGGTAACTCAGAATCAGAGGATTTTCTCGAAACGATCCAGGACTGTTTCCTAAGTCAACATATAACCGAACCCACCCGGGGTGATAATATACTCGATTTAGTTCCGTCGAACAGAGAAAACCTCATTAGCAATGTCGAGTTAGGGAACGAACTTGCAAACAGCGACCACAAAGAAATTAGATTCCAGTTAGATTTTCAGGACAGACATAAGGAAAATTCCACAAAAGTCCCACATTTCAGAAGGGGAACTTTGATAGTTTGAAGAGGCAGCTGAAGGAAAGGGTGTCGCGCCTGAGGGAACCTGACAGTTGACACGGGCCTAATAACGAGATCTGAGATTGTCGAGTTCCACGACAATTTAAATAATGAGTTACTTAATGCACAAAGGCAGAACATACCACACAAAAAACTCAGATCAGACAACAATGACCCTAAGTGGATAAATAATTATTTAAAGACAATTATTGACCAAAGGAAGGCTATAGGTAGAAGGATGAATCGTGGAGAAATTTACCTCCGGGATTATTATAAGGTATTGGCAAGTAGGGTTAAGTCTGAGATAAGGAGAGCTAAGGGGAACAATGAAGTGAAGATAGCAAGGGAGGCAAAGACAAACCCCAATGGATTCTACCAAATGTATCAAACTAAAACACAAGAAAAGATTGGACCAATACCATCAGATACCGGCAAGCTAACTGCTAACGACGGAGAAATGAGCAATAATCTGAACAAATATTTTCAACAGTTTTCACCACAGAAAATTTAAACATGATACCCGAGGCACCGACTATATTCAGAGATAGTGAAGAAAACAAATTAAGAGACGTAGAGCGAGGGGCGACCTGATAGAGGTGTATAAATGGAAGTCAGGGCTAAACAAAGGGGACATTACAAAGGTACTCAAACTCCAACCAGGAGTGAACTCGTAACAATGGTTTCAAATTAGACAAATTTAGATTTAGGCGCGAAATAGGTAAACACGGGTTTGGAAACAGAGTAGTAGATGAATGGAACAAGTTACCAAATATCATCATTAACTTGAATATGCTGGATAGCTTCAAACATAGGTTGGATGCTTATATGAACAATAGGGGTTGGGTGTAAACGGGATTGCCCAGTATGGCCCAATAGGCCCGGTGCAGTTTCCTCCATTCTTATGTTCTTATCTTAAGTTCATACAAGGATAACTACAACGACTCACCTACGGGATAACCAACGAAGAGGACCATGCGGGAGAGCTCGCTGTGGTCTTCTTCGTCCTCGAACTCCTCGCTGTGTTTTTCTTCCTCGGATTCCTCGCTGTGATCTTCTTCAGAGTCCTCGAGGTCGTCGTTTTCGGAACGGTCGTCCACGGGGTCCTCGTGTTCAGGTTCTTTGTTTTGGTCTTCTTCGTCCTCGGGTTCCTCGCTGTGGTCGTCTTCAGAGTCCTTGAGGTGGCCGTCTTGGGGTTCCTCGTACTGGTCTTCTTCTTCAGGGGCCTGACTTTGTTCGTCCTTGTGGTCCGTGTTGAAAAACTGATCTTCCGGAGCCTTATAAGACTCCTCGACAGCTTCCTCGGGAATATTAGTAACCCTGACAGCTTCCTCACTCACTTCTGTCTCCCCTACAGTCTCTGTATTCTCGTCTTCAGGAGTATTGCGGAAGGTGCCATGACCGTCAAATTGTTTAGGCTCCATTAAGTTATGGAAACTCCTGGCGGAGGATGAGTAGCTGTGAGAAGAAGGAGCAGATGCCACAAGGGCGGCCCCCATGAGGAGCAACAAGCAGGACCAGGAAGTGGTGATGAAAGCCATGGTCCTGGGAGGTGAAGTGCTGCTCCTATGTCGCCATCGCTACTTATATGCTCCCCCTCACCTCGCACCCCCAACTACTCCTTCCTCCCTTCCTTCCACCCCTCCCCCCACCTTATAGCCATCCTTTTCTTTTTTTCCCTCCTCCCCTGTCGTCCCCATCCATCACTCCATCCTCCCCTTTCTCGTCCTCATTAGTCCCCACCGCAAGATCCCACCTGTTGAGTTGTACTTATTATTGTTACTTTGTATTTTATTATTATTATTAATATTATTACCCGAGGGACAGATGATAGATTATGTGTTTAGCTACACTATCTTCTGTATACTACATCCACTACACTATCTTCAACACTATATCCACCACACTATCTTTTACACTATCATCTACACTATATACACATCATCATTCTTCGCCGGTTTTAAATACTCCTTCAGAAAATATCCATACCCTGTGCTTTATGGGCGGGGTTACACGTTTCCGAAATTCAACTCTCTACCATGAAAACTTAAACTGGAAATCGCAAACAAACTTAAAAGCAAGCAAAGAAACACACAGACGCCATATATCGAGGGTTATTGCATGACGTCATAGGTAAACAAACAGGTTAAGTCTCAGCTCGATGCTTCATTCCACAAGTGAATCCGTACACGATTCTTAATGTGTATGTGTCTTGTTAAATAGCTATCTTGCCTTTCATTCAATTAATTTGTAGTATTTAGTATTAAGAACAAAAAATACACATGCGTTTGGTTTAGATTATGAGATGAAATTGAAATAATTACCAAAAGTGTCGTGTAGGAGTGATCTTTTGTGTAAAACCTGGAATTCATTTCTCTCAAGGTGGCTGGAGTATTTATGCACATTTTAAACAGACAAAACCATTCAACAAAACCTCTAACCAAATCTGTCTAATCCAGTTTAAGGAACGAATAATCTAAGTAGTTAATTTGAGTTAAATTTAGCTGATTAGAGTACTGTATCTTATTTTGTAAAGATAGTTTGTCCGATGTTCGCTTAAACTTGAATCGTATGTGTCCTGAGTGTCTCCTCTGTGTTATGTGTCCTGAGTGTCTCCTCTGTGTTATGTGTTCTGGACCACGAGATATACGAACCTATTGTGTTTATGTGTAAATATAATTATCATATGTGGACACCAGAGATAATTAATGCAATGTGGTTTACTACGTCTGAGGTGCACCGTCCCGTAACTGTATTGAATATTATTATTATTATTATAATTAGTAGTAGTCGTAGTAGTATAATTATTATTATTATTATTTTTATTATTATTGTTATTATTTGTGTGTGTGTGTGTGTGTGTGGCGACCGCAGTAGCTCCATGCGAAATATAAATAGATTAGTCACTCATTAACTATACAGTAAATAACCCAATTGCGGGATGGTCACAAACACCTGGTGAAGAGGTCAGGGGGACGCTGTGAATCAGGTCAAAGGTCAACAACACCTGGCCTATGTCACTCCAGCACTGGACTATATTTATCACCGTTAATTCTTCAATTTGATGATGAAAAAAAGTGAAGAATAAAAATAGAAACTGATAAAACACAGTTAAATAAAAGTGATATAAATAAAAAGCGTATTCTCAACGGTATACATTATAACTAACACTAACGTCATTAATCTTACAAGACCATTAATGTTGCTTCTGATATACACTGATGATGTTTCTTATCTGGTGTGTTTCCTCATCCTTGGTGACGAAGAAAAATAATTTACGAAACTTCGAAAATTTGTGACCAAACATTATAATTGTGGGGTTTTTGTGACTTAGGTCAAAACTTAATGTTGGCTGACCTATTGTGGTCCTAGTCTAGGGGAAGAGGTCTGTCTGTCTGTCTGTCTGTCTCGTAGGGACTAAAGTCTCTCCGAATTTAGGATGATTCCGGATTAAATGAAATTGTGCGAATGTTTTGTAATGCACCTTAGATATAACTGAATATAAATAACTAGGTCACATACACCACACACAGTGAAGGAGAGTGTGAGGACTAGTGATACAGCAGCCGAGTGGATTCAGCACTCACCTTCTGCTCTAAGGTCATTAGTTTGATACACGGGGCACTCCCAGTCCACTCAGCTGAGATATGGTTACCTAACGTTACAAATTGGGGAATTGAAGGCGGTCGAGTGCAGTGCCCGGCCAAGCTGCCTCCTTGTGTACTGAATCCACACTGTCCCTGACGGGTAGTCGTACTGATGGCACCCTCCTTCACCAATATAGGCGGGAGTAATGAAAATTGGTAATTTGTAGATTGAGAACCATATAAACAACACGCAGAATTGTGTGTGTTAGGGGGCCCGGACAAAAGCCCCCTAGGACAAAAGCCCCCTAGGACAAAAGCCCCGCAGTAAAAGTGCAAAATAGGACAGAAGCCCCCTGTTTTTATGTTAAAGAGAGGGTCATTAATAATATTAGAAATATATAGATTAAAATATGAAATTATTACAATTTAAATAATTAGAATATTATAACTTTAAATTTTGATATAGAACATTATTAAATAAATGGAAAAAAAACGACACATTTTACCTTCATGTTCATTCTGTATTTACTGGGGTGACCCGAGGGCCCAGTGAGGTCACTGAATGTCAGGGGAGTAATTACCCCAGTAGACAAAACGTGCGTCATTACAGATTTAATAAACATTCCTTGTATACTTCTTTATAACTATAACAGAATTCCCGAAGGTTAGATTCGGTTAGGTTAGGTTATGTTAGAGAAGTGGTCATAAGCTGTAAAAAAATAAAATAATTATTTTAAAAATTCATATTATTTCTCCTGGGGGACTTTTGTTCTAGGGGGCTTTTGTCCTAGGGGGCTTTTGTCCTAGGGGGCTTTTGTCCTACACTCGTGTGTTAGTACCTGCATATCCATGAATCTATCATTGTCTCTCATACTCAGAAAAACTGTAATTTTCCTTCCACTCAAACTTTATTTTTAGCTACAAAAACAAGTCATTATTATCGTTCCTCGTTTATCAAAGATTTTTAACTCAGGTCATTTCAGGTCAGAGAGGTCAAGGTGAGGAGCAAAGGGGAAGGAGGAGGAGAGAGGGGGTGTAGGGAGGGTTAAAGGGACAGAGAGAAAAATAAACAAAACAAGCCGGGAGGTGGAAGACCCCTTCATAATCGCTATAAAAGCTGGCAGCTGAGGAGGCAGGGTCATCAGTTCTCTCGTGACATGATGGCCACCACCACCTACCTGAAGACGACGTGTCTCCTACTGCTGCTGGGGGCCGCCCTCGTAGCTGCCAGCCCCACCAAGTTCAAAGTTAAGCACGTCTCCCCTGCCATCTACTCTGCTCCTAAAGGTGAGACGCTGTAGCTCTTGTTGTCGTGATGTCCTCGTGTGTGTTAGCACGTACCGTACCTACAGGGGACTTTAATATCTTCTAATACAACAGAGTATAAATTACTCTGTACCACAAGGTGAGACGCTGTTGCTTTTGTTTTTGTGAGGGTATTAAAATTCACTATCACTTATTATACATCTTAGTGTAAACGCAATCAGTTTGTATAAAAGTGTGCGTGTGTATGTGTGTGTGTGTGTGAGTGAGGTTTTTTATGTATGTAAATCATCGTGAGTCATTTCTCTACCAGACGTTATTATCCTGAAGTAATGTCTTCTCTTGTTTCTCCCACAGAGCCGCATGTGTCGCTGCACTTGACAAAAAAAGGGTCACTTCGTCCCTCACATGGGCATAGTTATGGGCACAGTTCTGGGCACGGCTTCCTACATCAACCCGCATATATTTACCAACCAGCTTATTCTGTCTACAAATACGAACCTCACCATTCCTTCCATAGTCCAGTGGTCAGGTATCCCTATGGCAGCCATGGGTAGTAAATCGAGACAAACATGAAGGGTCCTCTACGTCAATGCTTATATACATCTTCGGAAAATGTTCCAGCAAAGGTATCAATATCATGAGGCTGACCCATCAAGGCAACGTTGATCTCCCAGGGTGTAGTAAACCGGACAGCATCCTGGCGCAGGAATTGGAGAGGTCCTCGGGTTCATATCCGGACCGAAGACCGTCGCTGATGATCATCTTGAGCACGGAGGACCTCGCCAGAAGTCGTCGACGCCTCTTGGCTGCTGGAATAAATTTTCAAGACGCATCACTATTTTTATAACAGTGGTCTTCTTTAGCTTGACGAGTTGTAATGTTTTCATAATAAATTACTTTAGAGTTTGTGTCTTGTTTCATCTGTATCTTACCTCTTTTATTACTCTTTAAATATATTGTTCTCAAATAATCTATAGAGATTATTTTTTATAGAGAGCATTTCACATAAGAACACAAGGAGTCTGCATGGGCCGGTTGGCCTGTGCATGGCAGCTCCTGTTTCTGTATGAAACACCTCACCCCGCCAGGATTCGAACCCACAGTCCACGACTGTGACCAGGAAACGCTACCTCTAGACCACCAAGATACAAAAGCGGTCCTAGACTCTGTTATATTTCACACAAAGCCTGGTCTAGGACTGCTTTTGTATCCTGGTGGTCTAGGGGCAGCGTTCCCCGGTCACAGTCGTGGGCCGTGGGTTCGAATCCTGGCGGGGTGAGGGGTTGACTATATGTAGAAATCCGCGTGCTTTATTGGGCTAATGAAATATATACAGTGCATATATATATATATATATATATATATATATATATATATATATATATATATATATATATATATATATATATATATATATATATATATATATATATATATTTATATATATATATTTATATATTTATTTATTTATTTATTTATTTATTTACACGGACGCACACATACACGTCCGTGCTTACTTTCATCTATGCATGTGTGCATATGTGTATGTTTGTGCCCGTGTATGTGGGTGACCGTTCCTGTCTAATGTTTGAATTTTCTGGAGATTTTCATGTTTCTTTTGTATCATTATCCTTTTATCTGTCTATCACCTCCTTCTTTGTGTCCATATATATCATACAGTAAGGTGA